TATTCTTAATGTTGGCTGAAAAAAATTATATATATTTTATTTAATTACTGAAATGCATACGATAATTATTATGTAAATAAATTAAATTTTAAAATATAAACTTAAAATCTAAAGAAAACACTGTTTGTGTATTTGTTACTGTAAAGCCCGACTAAGATATTTCGTAAGATTATTATTTTTATTCAACTTAATGTAAAAGGATACCTCCTTCCGTATCATAACATAAACTATGAACATCATAGTAAGTTTATGATATTTTTATACCATCAGCTAAACACTTTCATACTATATTTACGAGCTTTGTTGTAGATTATTTTAATATAATGTCATTTTAATGTGTTATCCATTTATACGTCACTAGCTGACCCGGAAAACATTGTATTATCCGTGAAGAATTTTTTTTTTTTTTTGCTGAACCTAACCAAAACGAAAACCAATGAGAACACCAAACCTAACTGATATGTTAGCTAATACCTTTAGCTATATGCCTATATTACCAAACTGAATATCGCGTTTATAGTTTTTGTGGTTTCCGAGCTTACTGAGTACTAAATATTTTTATATCTATATAATGGTTAATAAAAAAAAACTGTAGGTATTTAAAATATTGTTACTTATTTTTATGTAATTTTTAATTTATAATTATAATATTTGTATCCCCCTTCCTTATGCATCAAAAAGATAATCCTACTTTATTTTTTTAATCGCAATCCATGATTTAAATTCAAAAATTATCCATACTTATATTTTTGTGAAATGTTTATGGCCATATATTTTATCATAGGAGGTACAGAGTACTCTACTCAATGTTCATTAGTTAAATTATAAGCAATTATCAGATAATTATTAGACAGCTAGACTTGAGAAAAAATATTATTCAGCGATGAAGGACGGCTCTTTGAAATATTTATTATTATTAAAGAATAAATAATAGGTACCTATAATGTGTGTATAACTTTAATAATACTACTTTAATTATATTGGTAGAGAATGAAGTTAAAACAAACGAATTTTATCTTAATTTTAATATTTTTTTTTATACGGCTAACAAGGATAAACCTAGGTATTATTTCGTTAATAAAAACAATCAGCAAAATATTATAAATTACATTGATAATAAATATATTATGTACAATACACACTAATATATTAGAATTCAAATTAATAATAGTGCAAAATCTTCAGTTAAGCATAAAAAACCACACAATAACAGATACTATTTATTTTGTTCGTACAGACAGATATGACTCTAGCCACAGCACTATAATACAGATCTCGTTACATTGTAATAATATAACAAAAATGTCTGTTATTATTATAATATGGTTGTGTCGACCGCTGGCTCGTGTGGACGGACAGCTTTATTGTTGGGGGCTGGTGGGACATTAGCATTTTTATAACCCCGCGAGTCGTAAAAACTCAACCCCCCCCCCCAACCGGCTACCCAACGATCACGCCACTGGCAGAGACGCGTGACGTAGACGTATTTCATATAACGCACTCGCTCGCTATATTACAATAATAATTCGTCAAAAAGGTTTCCCGTGTAGCTTTCAAAATGTTATTTATATATTATTATATAGTACGTGCACTCGCGTATTGTGTGAGTATAATATTTCCCACGTGTGAGCGCTGCTGCAGCATACGCATGCGCAAAAATAACACTTCTATCGTATAATGTGTATTATAATAACATACAGGTTGATTCAACAAACATTCTCACCTTGCACAGATTTTATTTCACACATATTAAACAGCAACTAGCACTGAGTTACTTCATTTCACACCCTCAACAAAGTGGTCTGTGGCCCACCTTGGTGGCCGTGGGACAGTCTCTCACTTGCCTCGCCGAAGCAGCCTGTCCTTAAGTAGATTGAGTGGATCTATTCTGTCAAATCTGTCTTTTGCGTACAGTACCATTTTGATTCTGTATCTGTTTATACGTTTTTCCTCCTCGTCCTTCTTTTTACATTTGTGTGTAATAGTCTTTTCCGTCTTGACAAAACTTCTCCAACAGTTTTGTGTAAATCATCTTTCCTTGTTTTTGGCCGGTGGGTGTATATCTCGTGTCCGACTACCCGGCTGCTATAACTTTTTACGAAAATTAGATGATCCGTACATAGAATTGATTGGGATCAGGCTGGCCAACCTCTGTCTTCTCGAAGACACATGGTGATGACCGCAGTAGCCCCCCCCCCTCTCTTCGAAAAGGATTTGGTTTTGGTTCAGGAACCACCCTCTCCGTCATCGGCCCAAGGGTGACCACGGTACATGAAAATATTGTTCTAACGATATAAATACTGCATCGGGATGATCTTTGTCTGTGCAGATGGGTTGACCAACGAGAGATTATGCTAATATCCTTCGAATATACAATATTATATGCATTATACAAAGATACCGGAAATACCCGCCTTATTATTATTACACCCAGATACTTTGTGGTTTTCACCTTTTTCGATAAATCACAAATTTCTTAACCAGATATAGAACCTACTATAAAAACCTACTACAAACAATAGTGTATTGAATTAAAATGTCAACCGCATATTTTCATTTTTTTTTCATATAAATCAGCTGAATATCCACGCTAAGTACGTTCATGTTCATTTTTTTTTTTAATAAATAAAGACTAGACTACTAGAGAATATACTAAACTGGTGTATAGAATATGTTTTTATACTTACCCGTTGTGAATATTTTTCAAAGATATATAATATTAAAAATGTTTATTTATATGAATATAATATATACCTAGTGTTTTAAATAATGGTTACCTATGTCTGTAAGCGTTTATAAGCAAAAGGTAGAATCATGTTTTTTCTTTTTTTTAATAATCTATGAATTGTAATGTTTTCTGAAAATGATTTAAAAAAAAACTCAAAATATACCTGTACGGTAGTTTGACTACAAATAATTATGAATTAGAAAGAAATGTCGCGTAATTCCTAGAACTATAGAATTGATAAATTGGAATGAAGTTTTCTTCTAGAAATAAAGGATCACAAATCTTAAGTAATTTTATCAATAGAGAGCTATTAAAAGATTATCAGGTTCTTTAGGTTAAGTTCCTTAAAATTTAGTGTTAAACGATATTTATCATTATGTATACAAGCAATCATTAACAGAAAAGACGCAATTAATTAATAATTAATTTTAACAAAACAAACATAATTACCATTTCAAACATGTATAATTGTTTAACTGAATCTGTTTATAACGTGTATTTGAATTATAAAAGCTGAACATGTTTAAATTGATAATACAAATTGAATACAAAGTGGTTTGCTTATCGCATGTTGTTTTATTATTAATGCACACAAATCCATTCTCCAGACATAAATCATAATATTATTATCTCATCGTTTAGAAAAAGTTAAAATGACAAAACAGAGTATAATAGGTAATTTAATATTATTCTGTCGTGCTCTTGTTTATCGGAGTAACATCGTATTATTACATAATAACTAATACAATCTATTAATATATAGAGGTACACGCAAGCGAGTCGTTCTCCCAAATAAATATAATCTATATCTATATATATAAATGTGAAAATGAAAACCTTTGAGGCATATGTTCTCGGAAACTACTGAACCGATCGTTATGATTTTTTTTTAAATTGAAGAGAAGGTTTATGGCATTTGATAGATTCTCTATCTATATATATGAATGTGAAAATGAAAACCTTTGAGGCATATGTTCTCGGAAACTAGTGAACCGATCGTTATGATTTTGTTTTTAAATTGAAGAGCTCATTGCAGAGAAGGTTTATGGCATTTGATCGATTCTCTAACTTAATAAACATAGGAGTTATCAATTATTATAAATAATGGCCTGTTACGTTGCAATTACGTACGTGGCCCGCGGGTTTCCAGCTACCTGAAACCTATCCTTTTTGTCCAAAGGTCAACGATAAGAATTGTTTTGAGAAGTTCATCGATAAAAATAATCTCATGCATCTCGCGTACACCAATATTCCAATTATATTTTAAACGATAAAATGCACACCGATACCATAAACCTTTCACAAAGCTAGGTACAATTAGCCGGTTTGTCCATAAAAATAAATAACATAACCCTCCAAAATATATTAATATATAAAATATAAATATTAAATACTCCTCAAAATCCGGGATGATCAACTATGACTTCAATACTATCTTAGGTACACTGTGTACAAATTTTTTTTCAACTACAAAACTGTACTAATATAGGCTACCTATATTTTATCTCCCTCCTCAATGTGTCCGCCATCTACCAAAGGTAGGTTGCCTACCTGATAGTATACTGTTCGCATTACCATATGAGAAACTCACGCGGGATGTCTAAAAATTAAAATTTTATGTGATTTTGCTTCCATACCTATGCAGAGCGAATTACATCCAAAAGGAGATAATTAATCACAATTTTTTTTAAAAAATTAATATTAATTAATATTTGTCTGTAGATTAGACCTCTGGGAAGAGATAGGCTAATTTAAAAAGGGTTAAAATTGTTTTTTTTAATCATCGGATTTTAGTACGGTTAGTTTAGGGTTTTGTATTAATTGATTATATTCATCCACCTTAGGTGGAATTAAGTAATAACGACAAACTTGGTATAACTTCGATACTTTAGAGTTAAATCATACACTTACGTACAAACAGCACGGGGTCCTCGATTTACCGCAGGTAGATTGCCTACCTGATAATATATTGCATGCTGAGAATCAGAATTTTTATTTCGGGCAACGGAAAAGTTAAGATACATTTTGAACACCATACACCGAATATTAAATAACGAATTGAACAAAGTTTTAGTCGTATAGAGTTGGTACATTTAACGGGCAGCGAAGTGCACGGGATCAGCCTGCAGTATTATATAATTGTTACCTATTGTTATTGTTATTATTATTATTTCCATAATATTGATTTCATCGTCATAATACCAGTTATAATACGCAGCGTTACACCTACGTCGATTGTAATTTGTTTTTCGTATATTATGTTCGTTCGCAGGCAACATTAACGGGATGAACGTGCTGAGTCTCGCGTTCCAAGCACCACAAATACCTGGCATGTCTGCACCGTCTTTTTTGCCGTACAATTCACCCCCGAGACACTCCCAGGGTAAGTATATCCAACGACGGAATCACATCCCGTATACGCGGGTGTTTTGATTATTTTTAGCCATCGTGTCTTGAGACATTTTCGTTTTGTTTCCAGGACCGCAAGACTCATTTCCCGGAGGCGTACTTAACGGCCGTGGCGGAATTGTGGCCCCGGCACCACTCCAACCCAGGGCGGCGACGATTGAATCCGTATTCCTTCCGTTACAGGTGAGACTTATGGTAGGCTCGGTATCGCTTCGATATTGTGAAAAAAATCATTGGTGATATTGTTGTCCCCCCCCCCATATGATGCAAGGTAGTTTCGAATCGGTTTGGTCGGTAATACAACTAAAAATAATGCCACAAACAGTTCACGTAGAGACTAGAGAGGACGCCTCCTGTATAAGTAACACTGTAATATTGTATATTATTTAAATATTGTTTTATATTTAAATTTAGTATAAATTGCTTATATTTATACTTCGTATTAAACAATTATATTTTATCAATTCTTAAATTCTCAATTCTTATGCACCGAATATGGTACATACCTCACTACCTCAGTCCTTGGCAGTTATATACATAAATTCGGTTTCGACTAAAACCAAATGAAATGTCGTCGATATTTAAAAATAAAGATACTTTTTGCTGAATTCCATAGTAGACAAGTTTTGGTAGGTAATTAATGATTCCTTAATTTACTTTATGGGTATGCAGGGTATGCATAGAATACATTTATACTGTTAACAGTACCTTATTTTGAAGTTTTACAAAATACTAAAATAAATATGTTTGGTGACAATTGTTTCAAGAACATAATATAACGACACAATTAGCGTTACAATATTATTAAAATAGGTTGCATATTTTTTTTGTTTTATATTTAATTATATTGATTTGTTATCCAGTTATGTAACTGGGACAATACTGTAATTAATTCACTTTTTATGAACAATAATGGAGGAACAGAATCCATCATATTAAAAAAATATATATATAGAAACGAGAACAATGTAATTTCCTATCGCAAAAGGTTTTTATTCATGTTTAAATATTTTGAAACATTGAAAATAAATCTTTTTCGATTGAAATATTCGGATATAGTTAGTTAGTTCCTAGAATCAGACGTGTGATCTTATGAACGTTTTAGACCATAATTTCATTAGGTGGGTGGTACACATAAATAACCGACCACGTTGGTATTTATTATGTCCGGCCGTTCCAAAAACAATATCAGTACGAACTATTTGCATAAATAATGTATTATTATTTGTTGTTCGGTTTATCTACACTACACCATCCGTAATCGGTACACTGCACAAGTACGATAATATCATCGCAGTTATCTCAGTTAAATATTATATCACAAACAAGTCCAAACGTGTTGAAAGTTCTATCTGATGGCAATGATGATCATAGTATTATACTATATCTAAAGTACCTACATACATAAATAAACATAGTGCATACGTATCATGTTTAGTTATAATTAGGAAATATTATATCATGAGAAATAGCCATATATTAGTGTGACCTGGTGGTTCGTGGGTGCCCGTTCAGAATATAACTCGGATAAATATGTACGTCGTAAATTTAATTAAAATTTGACTACATGGATAAAACACAACAATAAAGTATATCAAAACAGAATAATACAAAGTAAACTTAAACAGTTCAAGTTATATTATACACGCAGTTCTCTCGACGTATTGTTATTTTAACAGACATAGTTATAATTTCCAATGACTCAGATTTTTTCACTATGAACTATTGTTTATTTATAGACATACATATTTATGGTTCATGATTTCAAGTTATAAAATATAATGTAAATATTTCAAAATGGTAACGGAAAAAAAATAACAAATGACAATGTTGATAAGTACCCATTAATAATTTGAATAATTGGGAATCACGTAATGACGAACACAATATTATATAATTTTTATGATCTGACAAAACCACTCGCTTCGGGAATAATTTTCTAAGCCTCGGCATATACATATTGTCGGTATATTTAAATGACTAAAAACAACTCCTGGTTGACGTACACGTCGTTTTACAGACGAAAATGTAATAACAGAGTTGCCGAATTAATGTCTACATAATATAGACCTTAGGTAAAGTCAAAAAAGCCCACCGGTCTCGCTTAGGTATCAATGGAATTCTAGTAGTAACCACAGAGTATCGGTTACAAATACTGAATTCTGATTAGGGATATTATTATGTGGTGCAAAAGTACGATACCATAAACAGTGTACCCAATACCCACTCCCCCAGCCCAAAGAAATTACGTGTAGATTATTTTACTGACATTTGGTGTTGATGATTATGTTTTTTTTGTTTTTTTTTTTCTATCCAGCCAAGTCTTTTGGTGTCCTTGGGCGAGGACTCCAGGCCTCAGGACATTGTAATGCAGAGGACGTCTTCGTTGCCAAACTCATCCGGAAACGATTCGGTCAATCCGTCGTCTTCATGAACATTTTGCTCACGTTAGATTGTTTTTTATTTTTAGATTCGTTTGCAATGTTTGCATTGGCCCAACGCCATCTAGTGTCGGAATGACGGCGGTGATCGGCACCGGAAAACCGAATTCGTTCGCAACACAGATAGCGGATACTCATTCACAAACGCTATAATGTTATTATTACACTTCTGTTCCAAACAGGCTGAATATTTTTCGTACATCTTAACTTAATTCTAAAAATAATATTGATATTGAATGAACAGGCGAAGCCCGAGGTAAATATAGTCCATCGTTACTTTTAGATGCATCGAAGTGTGTCAATCTGATTTCGATGGTCGTCGAATGTGCGAAGTAATTTTTTGTGTACGGTAACATATAGGTAGACTTAATCATATTTTCTGAATGACCACCATGGGACAAAAATTAATTATGCATGTATATCATGATTCTAAGTCTTTGAAATTAAATAAAAACAATACACGTGTGTAATTTAATTTTAGTTCATACATCAATCGCACGTGCCAAATATTATTTTAAAAAACGTATTGTATAAATATTTTTCTTTCTGTTATATTTTACGAAAAACCCATCACCGTGGTCCACTTTATGAAATTTGTTCAATCTATAATATAATTTATTAATAACATTATAATAATATAATATATTGTACGTTACCACGCTTAAATATTGTATAACATTGTCCAACACTACGTTCATTTTACCCTTTTATAAATATTATGTGTTTAATACATTTTCATTATTCTGTGATATTTTGTTATATATATATTATTATGTGTCTTTTTTTTTAATTTTTATTTTGATAATAATTTAGTCTTAACTATATAATATTATAAAAAAATAAATGAAAATTGTGTATTTTCGATGTCAAAGAAAATCTGTTTGGAACCCACTAATACCGAATGACTGATAATTATATTATATATTATATATATTATACATATTGAGTCTTGCAAGAGATAAAAGAGTATACGGGGTCATAGATGAATAGGAAATATATTAAAATATTACCGGAATAATAATTTATGTTGTCAATAAGCATTTGTAAATTCGTTGCACTGTTGTTTTTAATTTAAAATAAAAAAAATATACCAATCTCGATCTTCAATAATAATTATGTAATTATTGTGATTATATTTGGTTTTTTATTTTAGTTTTTTCCGTATATTTTTACACTGAAACAAAATATACTGTTGTCTGTTTGGATATCAATCAATTACTGCTTAAGGCAAGAAAAAGGAAGACTTATTTTATTACAAATAGTCTTATGTGTTCTATTATTTTCTCTATTTATAATGTATACTCTCATTTAGATAGAATACCTACTTAGGTTTAAATAACTAGTGTTAAATTCGATTTGTTGTTTCTTAATTTGAATATTATATATAATGTAAATAAAATTTCATAATACATAATGATTTTTGGTTTTATACAAATTTAAATAGAAGAACAGTCACATATTACATCGAGTGTAAAATAATTATTTAAGTGTCAGTCACTTTGATAATATAGTATGTTGTTAATGTCGACAATGCTTTATAAATTATAAAGATTTTAGATTACACTAACAATGTGAAAATATCTAAATATATTTTTGTAAATCAGCAAATGAAAGACTTGTCACTTGTCAGTAATACTATTTTCTGAACAACGGTGCTTCTCCGATGCTAAGATACAGCGACACAACTTGGAACGTACCTACTGCACAATCATAGTTTTTATTGTTTTAGAATATATTTGAATATTATATTTCACATTTTTAAGTGTATTAAAGTAAAATGTTAACGAAGATCGTCAGGATAACAAATATTTTTAAACGATTTTGTACTTGAAAATGTATTACATTTTTGTTTTATTTTAACATGCTAAATTACATAAAGCTTGAAAATTTAACCCACATTGCATTTGTAAATCATAACAGTTGTATTTAACTTTGACTGAAATTCAAATAATTAAACTTTATCCAATAAGTATTGAATAGTTATTTAAGAGGACGTGATGATATACTTTGTCTTCGTCTTACAATTAATGTACAACATAGCAGAAAACATTTTTATGCGGGATAGAATCACTCCCTTGGTATTTATAGTAGAATTACCAAAATTCCACAACGCATAGGGAACAACATTTGTGTCGTAGCTTTTTATTTTTTTTATAGCATTTACCAATAGTTTTTAATAACTAATAGAAAAATAACAAAAAAAAATCCTAATGTTCTCAAACTGATAACTTTAATTTTATTTATGTTATCCAAATAATAAAAACTCTACGAAACAGATAAAGTTGTTCCCTATGCGTTGTAGAATTTTGGTAATTCTACTATAAATACCGAGAGAGTGTTTTTATCCCGCGCAAAACAGTTTTTTGCTATGTTGTACATTTTTAAGACGGAGATAAAGCATGGGGGTATCACGTCCTATTAATTGATAATGTTTAACTGAAATATTTAGTAAAAATTAATTAAATTTGGAAAAACTATTTTTAATTCTCAATTAAAGAATAAAATTGCTCATGTTTTAACTTTTAACATTTAAAATGAATTAAACACTAGGATAAATACTAGCTACTAAGATTAATAATTGAAAATGCAATGTTTAGGCCACAAAAATACAAAATTGATTAAAGTTTAATTCAAATTGGTAAATAAACATTACATGTTTACTTAGATATGATATAACTATTAATTCCTTATATTTATGAATATATCTTACTAATAAAAAATAATCTTTTGTATTAAACAATTACTCACATTGCTTATTAGGCGGTGTCCGTCAAGGTGCAATATCTTCCATCGTTCTCATTAACTACTGATCAAACAACATGACCAAGTATGTATATCCAATATATCGATAGCTGAATTGTAGGCTATCGATCAAGTTATTTATTTTATCAACGGCATCCCACCATAGTCAGTGAAAATCTTAAAAATGTCCTCGACCTAATTAGGTAGGTGCGTTAAAGACAATAACGCGTTTAATTTGAGCAAAGGTATCTTTTCTTCAGTCTTTCTCAACGACAATGTCATATCGTAACACATAGGAATGGACTATGACTGTTTGACATATTTGTTATACAATGAACAAAAGACTATCATCTTGGTCTTAACTCGCAAAATCAAAACCCAACCAATCTTTTATTATATTATTATATTATTATGAGAGTGCAACTCAATTTTGGTGCCCAGGGTTTATTGAAATTAAGCCTAGGGTAGACTTCCGTTTGCTGCAGCTAAACATTATTATACCTAGCTTTAAGTACCTAGTATATTGATTAAAATGCTTATAACAATAACAATAATATATGGTATAAATATTATAAACTAAAATAATAGTTAATAATAAAATAAATGAGATATTTTAGGTAAAAATTAATTTAACCTACGAGCTACCGTAAATATAATATATTTTGATATCCACTCAGAATCATTATTATTTATTCCTATGCCATGAATTTATAATTGAATTCTAATTTAACAAATCCATTATAGTGACGAACTTGACACGTCCTAATGTATAGTATACTACAATGGTTACCTACTTAGCTACTTTTTTTTTCTTTCAAAAAAGTGGTTTTATAATTATTATTACTTCAATTTATATTTAAAAAAATATATCATCAACATCATTAATAGTTTTTGATATAATAATTACCTACTGTTAAACTATTCCACTCTGTATTTTTACCTAAACATTTCATAGTAAATAAGTGTTTTTGCTTAACTATACTATAGCTGATTCTGCACTGCTTAGCACATGAACAATTAAATGCCCGTGAGAAATTCCCTTCTTAAACTCAACTCCGTTAATGATAACTGCACAGTCTGATAACACAATTATTTGGGGTGTCTTTACCAAATATAAAATACATCTAAAATTATATTCAATCATAATAACTATTTTATTTTCTGTAACCAATGGCAACAATACCTATATAAATAATAAATAAAATATCATAAAATCATGAAAGTTTTCGTGAGTCAACTATATTCAACATATTTTATGTGTTGAAAAGTAAAAGTTAGTGTATGATGCTATTTTCTATTTTTCTATTGCTTATTGCTATTGGCAAACATTTTATGAAAAATTAAAATCCTTCAAAAGACCATTTTAGGTCTTTGATTTTATATAGTAGATGTATATATTAATTATAGCTGATCCTGGATGGCGTTGCCTATGATAAATTAAATAATGCCAGTGGATTTATTCTGTATTAAACTCCGTTAAATATGGACTACACAAAATACATTTATTTGGGCGGTTTGGAGTTTTTTATCAACTATAAAACACAGATTCAAAATAATATGCAATTATAAAAACTATTTTATATTCTGTGACCAATGGCAACCCTATACAAACAAACAAATATTCGTTTTTCTCTATCCACAGCAAATTCATGTGTCTTTAAAATGCTAAATTAAAAAATTTGGCTTCGAGGTGCATATTCTCTAGTATTTATGTTCCCAATTTCGAAACCGTGGATCGCTTATAAACACACACACACACACACACACACACACACACACACACACACACACACACACACACACACACACACACATATACATACATACATACATACATACATACATACATACATACATACATACATACATACATACATACATACATACATACACACATACAGATTGAATTATCTGAATACAATAGACAAACATTAATACTACAATTATTGTTCACAGTTAAAAATAACAAGTGCTTTAAGGTATAATATTTATATACTTGAAAATTCCAGTTATTGAGTCAAAATTAGTTTTACCCTATGGAAAAGCTATTATTAATTTTGACAAATTATCGATCTTAACGATATTTACATTACACTAACAATTAAAATAATAAATAAATTACTAATTTACTGCTTCTTACTTTATATGTATAAGTTTACTATTCCTTTGAACACAGTCATATTATAACGATTTAAATAGCATTATTTTATTACAATACAGAAAATGTTAAGCCGTTTAATTAAATAATGACTGTAATTTTTTGCAGTAGGTAGGTAGTTGTTAATTATTTTTTTTATGGTGGTATTAATGGTTTATTTTTGCAATAATTAAGCTTGTAAAGTTGCGCATCTACTTTTATTTATTTTTTTATTCTTTATTATAATTGTCATATTGTTATTATTATTTTTATAATTATTACTACCATCATTAGTGAATAGCAAAAAACAGTTTCTATTTGAATAGCATAAATTCGATTGTTATCTGAATCATGGGTGGATGACCAAAGACCAAAGTGGTTCAAACAAAATCAAAAAAAAGTTTCAGAGTACCAGCTATATGCTCAGAAGAATGAATTGTTTCATTGTTTCATTGAAAGTTTCTTGTTAATTATTTATTTTTACTGTCGTTCATTGTTTGGGAGAATAAAATATTATTGATCATTATACTTATCTTCCAATAGAGTTTATAATAATTGGTTTCATGTTGGTATTAATTATTGCAGTCGATGGAAATATTCTTTCAACCAAACGAGAAAAAAAATTACCCATATTACTTACCTATATATTATTCAAACTTTCCAGTATACCTATAGCTATAAAACTTTTGTTCGATTTACAGAAGTAGCTCTTAATTTTGAAATAATCTTCATAGATACCAATTAGTATACAATAATTTTCAATAATAATATATTGCATAATTATTCAGAACTAGTTAATGTGGCTAGTTTCACCAGTCATCATCATTCTGTGAGGTGTAATGTTATAGTTTGATTTACTCGCGCAAAATTACGTTATATACGGTATATGTTTGCATAATACCTATGTGTAATAATAATGGACTCCATCGCATTCACTAAATGATGTACTGTTTGAATACTGAATGTTGTGGTGTGGATTTATTTTTCTTGACATTATTTAACGTTTTTTGTTCATTGTTAGCTCTTAATTCAATAATAATCATTCCCAATGTCCTTCGAGCTATTATATGGAAACTACATTCTTATAGTAGTTGGTTGTTTCTTATTGTGGTAGGTGGACAGGTGTTTTTTTATCTTCTAAGAAATCAAATTGTTTTGTTATAATTTCTTTTATCATTATTTTTAATTTGCAACGATAGCCAAAAAGTTATGTTTTTGTATAAAACTAATTGAAGTAAATATATATTATGACTAAGTCTAGGTTACTACTTTAAGTCATCATAATAATAATAATTAATAGGAAATTAAAAATATTTTATTTTTATGAGAGCAAACATTTATTTTATAATAGAATTGTACGAATAGATGCTCCAACAATGCCTGATTTATGTTCCTATGTTATACACGATACACAAATTAAGTCTGTGTAAATACTAAATATTATATGATTTTGGTGTATGTTGGCTATTAATATTATACATTTATCCTTTTTAAATAATTTAATATAGTAACACAGATAAATTTAAAACGTTTATAATTATTTTATTATTTTTTGTGTGCCCTTTCAATAAGTATGCTTTGAAAAAATAACATTTATAATATAAATACAACCAGAAAACCATTTATAGTGATAATCATAATAGAGTAATATAATTATAATTTTTTTTAGGAATGCATTGAACACAGCAATACGTTTTTAAATATTTATATATTTTGTTTATTCGATATTTAAAATTACTCCAGGGAACCAATCTCTTATTGAAAAATCAATTAAAATCAACTTTACTTCGTTGAATAACACAGAAATGGATTTAACGAGTCAACATTTAACAGATAAAGGTCAAAAGAAACCTACGGATCAAAAAATATCACCTCCGGTGGCGGAAACAACTAATGCTCAAGATATTAAAAAGGAAAGACAAGCATGCAGTAAAACAATACTGGCGGAATCACATGCAAATTGTAACAAAGAATGTTTATGGATATCACTTAAACCTGCATCGACCTTTGAAGAATATTTTGAGTCAATACCTAAAGTCTCGTTTTTCTAAAAATTATAATATTTTAAAAATATAATACCCACAATAAAATCAGTTATTTATACTGCATATCCTTGAACCTACAAATATTATAGCCTATAGGTAAGTATTTTATGTATTGCACAAAATATCGATCTCCCAATCATTAATAGAATACCGTTGTGGTAATTATAATATTATATTATATTATTTGAAGTGTAAAACTAACAACTCTTATCGGACTGGTACGATTATCCACGAAACTGCTTTTGCACATTCTGGTTTAAGTTTCACTAATTTGTTAGGTTTCACCGGTTGGTCTTATTTTTTAAAATGTTATCTTAATGTGTGACATCCTGCTTACAACGTACATAGTGACTATATTCTTGATTTTATTTCAGAAAAACTAAAAAGTGTTCCAAGGTAGGTACTATTAATAATATATTAGATAGGTACATATTTATAATTACAGTAAATATGATATAATATTAAAATTTAATATAAACCTTGATACTGTTACAATTTAGTGATGGTGCTTAAGTTAATTATTTAAATGTTCTCGTTATATAATGTAATTTTGAATTGTTAAGATCACTCATTGATGAAATGCATAAGTAGAATCGCGGAAAAAAAGCCCACGGAAAAAAAGCCCAAGGAAAAAAAGCCCAGAAAAAAAAGCCCACGGAAAAAAAGCCCAAAAAAAAAAATACACTGAGGAAAAAAAGCCCACGGAAAAAAAGCCCAGAAATACAAATATAAATGTGAACAAAATATAATAATATATTATTATATATTATAATGAAAATAATAATTAATTGTTAATTATAATAGTAATAGTCACAGCAGGTCAGTCAATTTTCAACTGTAATAATACAATAATAATATAAATATTTTGTTGGGTATAGTGTGATACTGTAACATAATAATAATAATAATTGTATTTATATTATTTTATTGTAATTATATTGGTAAGTACCGAACAATATAAATTAAATTAAATGTAAAAGTGCTTATCAATAGTTGGGTAATAAAAATGCAATTTATTGACAGGTGGTTCATCAGTTCATGGCAGTATCAAACCCTCTATATAATAATATACCTTAATAATATTTCTTAAATTAAAATACATTAAAAATGTTCAATAGTTATATATTATGTATAAGTCATATTTGAAATTTTAATATTTTCTTTTATAAAATTACCTATATATGCCTTTATACAATTATTTATGATTATTATCTGTTATAGTTATAGGAATGTATTATTAATATATTATATATTTTGTTCACATTTATATTATATTTTGGGCCTTTTTTCCGTGGGGCTTTTTTCCTCAGTGTATTTTTTTTTTGGGCTTTTTTCCGTGGGCTTTTTTCTGGGCTTTTTTTCCTTGGGCTTTTTTTCGTGGGATTTTTTCCGCCTACCGCATAAGTAATAATATTGACACATATAGTATATGCTTACGGGAATAAATTTAACTAATCTAATATTTTATATAGCACGCCCAGATATATATTAATATTAAGTTTATTCAACATATTAACAATTATTATTATTATTATAACATATTGTATAGTATTACATAGTGCAGTATCAAAAGATAACAATGCCAGACGAGCCTCCTTAACAAGGGTCGAAATTTATAGCGCTAAAAAGTACGGGGATAACGTGAATTTGAATAAATACGTACAAGCTCGTGTTGCTTGTTGCGGTCGTACTAAAACTAATTGCATACACACGATTCCAGTGGTCTTACCAGCGGGATAAACGTGTCTATTTCGTGTCGCCTCTTTACGGTGTTTTTGACGGTTCAAGGTAGTTGTACGTGGTGGATGTTACATTAAGTAGGTAGGTATCCAGGAAGGCGAAATCCGATTAATGTCTGCAAACAGCAGGCACATTGTTTTTATTATTATTATTTACGTTTAAGGTTTAAAGTGGCTGAATAATAATTATTATATTCTTTACTATAAATTATAATACACGCCATGATAATATCATTTTCCAGCTTACCTAAGTATTTCGAATTTTTATTTTCAAAATACCTTGGTCATGTTATTAGGTATATAATTTACCGAGTTCACGGGTGGTATAAAATTTAAATTACTATATAATATCCTGGTATTTTATCAGTTTTGATGTAGGATCTGCAATGTGTAGCCACTTTTAATAGAAATTAAATTAAAGCAGGTAATCCCCGCATAATGGAAAATACGTTCTATAAAAGTTTGAATTTAATTTGATAGCTAAAATTAGCGATTAAAACTTTACACAGTATTAACACTGATTTAACATGACTTGGGGTGTGCTAAACAATACATTCACTGTAGATCCCATGGTCCTTGTCTTCACCCCCATTATGACCTAATTTAAAACTAAACCAAAAACTTAAAAGATACACATGTTTGTGGTTTACCAAATTGAAGTGCACATATTCAGTGTGTACTTGTCTTATACATTTCGAGTGTACGAAAAAAACTTCTACGCGGTACACCCGAGGCAACGAAATTGTCGATATCATCACTAAACGGCTTAACTTTCCACCGCGGTCTTACTGACCTAACATGACCAATAATCATTAAATTTATTCAACTCGATTAATAAAATACAAATTACACGTTTCATGTTTATTACTGTTTTGCATTAAAATTATTGTACCTAATTTTTTTCCGTATTTTGAATAGTTTCTCATGCTGACAGCATGCACAAAGTATAATTCATAATATTGATAAGTCACCCTAAGGTGAATAAATGGGTGTGGTGAAAATTTACAGGATATGTAACCTGTTGTAAAATTGTAATGGGAAACTTCCAAATGTAGTAAATTTATACTTTGAAATTAGAATAATAAAATCATCAACATTTTGAAAACCACAAATCTATATTGAAAGCTTATAAATTAACAGGCCGGCGGGGGGTGGATATGTAACGGGAAATATGTAAAATAACACATATATTTCAATCGCCAATAACTATATGTCTATATATATATATATATATATTTAAAATTATATTCAAACAAAATGTGTAAGACAAATTATTAAGAAGTAATTACAAATAAAAAACTTAAATCCTTATTTTAAAATGTGAATACATACTAGGTATACAATAAAATTGGATTATAATAATATAAATTATAGGAACTTTTATTTTTTTTATAATACAAATATTTACAACTATAAACTAAAGATTTTTGTGTTAGCGCCTTAGAGGATGATTATATTTTATTAGCATTCTATTTAAATCCAACTATGATCGATTAGATTTATTCGTACCTAGTTTTGTGGTAGGTAGTTATATACTATTATATATCCCCAACAATTTCAGAACCATGGATTTGAATTAATTATGTTGTGATAATGGACGTGAAAAACAAGGTCCAATGAACTAATGTGAATGTCTTGTTTAGCATATTCTAAGTCATATTAAATCAGTGTTAATTCAGTGTAAAGTTTTAATCACACATTTTTAACGATCAAATTAAATTTTAACTTGTATAAAACTTGTCTATAATGCGGGGATTACTTCAATCAAATATATCTATATTATGAAAAATGGCTACACAGTACACACAATAATATCCTACATCTAAACTGATGAAACACTTCGATATAATTGTGTTACCTAATTTAAATTTTAAACACCCTCGAATATAAATATAAATTTATGGTCTAGACTTCGAAACCATAACTATGAAACTATCTACCACTTTAGATACTGAAAACTGAAAAGCACAATATTATGTTCATAATAACAAAACTTCAAAATTTAGTATTTACATTTTTTCTATTGATCCACAGAAATAAAGTATATTATGAATAACAATTTAAGTCTAATGCCCATATATATAGTCAAGTATATGTCACATAAAACATGTTAAACTATGCTTTATGTGGCAAATACATTATTGATAATGCATATGGACATAAGTAACATAATAATATTATGTGAAAACATTAATATATAGTTAAAATATTATCATAATAAATATATTTTCCAATAATTAAATTATTTTAAAACAAATTTAATTGTTCTTACTCAAATAAAGAATTTTGGTTTTTAACTAAATAAAATAATTATTACGTTAATTATTGTGAACATCAATAACTGAACTCAAATTATGTCAGTATTTAGTTTCTGCATCTATAGCAAAACAGTTATGTTCTATATTATAATATTATTGTATTATACCTATGTGAATCTGATTTTTTTGTAATATGAGGAGGAACTTTATATTTTAAATCAGGAAGAAGTATATATAAATCGATAAGACCAGAGAGGAGTTTGTTGAACAATTTTGATGACAGAGTGACTCTATTTTATGAGTAATAAAAAAATGTTGTGGGGAGGGAATTCTATTTTAAGGATATAGCTAGTGAAACTAAGGAATTTGTGTTGAACATGTTCAAGCTGGTATCTTTCATCTGTCATTTGCGTGCCCTTCACAACAAAAAAGAGACGTACCTATTTAGACAAATATAATAAAAATATAACAATAATACCTCTATCAGGGGCACTAATAGTTTAAACTTCTAATAACTAATAAGTATCAACATAATATGTTTTCATATTATTATGAACAATAGTTTCATGCATTAATTATTGCACTATTGCAGCATACTTTGTTCAAATAGTTTCATAAAATGTATACATAAAAACATTTTTATAAAAATAATGATAAAGTCATAAAGATTGAATATACATAGCATATTTTGGCATACTTGTTAAAAACTTTTTTCGGCGACAATTGTAACTCAGGATGAATATTAAATATCCTTCAGTATCTCTTTCCCCAAAGCAGATCTTAGATATACTTTTTCTTCTTTTATTTATATGAATAAATAAATATACTTATTTTAATCGATGAAAAAGACATCTCTAAAGTACACGTAGCTATATGAATGTAAAATATGTTGTAAGATATCTGCGTTATAGTTTTTTTTTTTTATCGAGGCTTTAAAATTAAAACTAAAATTAAAATTAAAATTAAAACTCCAAGCTTTTAATTGCTTATCCTACCACAATCTCATCCA